AGACACAGAGTGACACAGTCACACGCACAGAGTAACACAGTCCTGCACATACACAGATATACGGTGATATACAGATACACAGTGACACTGAAACGCACACAGTGACACTTGAAACACACACAGTGACACTGAAAGCACTACACCTGCAGCCACTGCACTCCCTAGGCATGTGCAGACCGCCGTTGCACAGCCTGCTGTAGCAGCGCTTCAGCTTGGCTTACGCAGGAATGAATGGATGACTGGTCGCAGCCTCTTGGTTTATGCTTCTGTTAGGTACCGGCCTGCCCTTTCCATCGGCCCGTGGTGCGCATAGTCCCTAATGGTACTTGCTGGACTGGATTGGGACTGCTTGTGACTGTACTGCTGACTGCATGGGGATGTACCGGCGACACAGTGCAGTCGCACTGCTAACCTACKGGGTTAGCCTCACCACTAACACACTGCACTCTCCGGGCGTCTGCAGATCACCATTGCCCAAGCCTCTGTAGCAGCGCTTCTGCATGGCTCACGCAGGAATGAATGAAAGGCTGGGCGCTACCTCTTGATTTATACTGCGGAAACTCGTTGGTCTGCCCTTTTGCCATCGGCCCATGATGCTCGCAGCCCCGTGGCACTTGCTGGACCGGACGAGGTCTGACTAGACCTTACCGCTGACTGACTGTGGACTCACTGCTAACCTGTGCAATTGCACTGCAGTTTAGTCCACCACTTGACTCGCTACTTGACTACTTGCCCACTTGCAGACCTTCCAGAAGGGCTACAGCTAGACTTCTGGAACTCGCTAAGACCCCTACTCTATAGATCTACAGATCTAACCMCTGCTGCCTGTGGACCTATGACAGGCCTACCAACTGTGTATGAATACATAGGTCACAGGTTCAACTCTCGGGGACTACACAGATGCTGTACATGGGTAGGTGAGGTCTAGGGGATCGAGTCCTGGATCTGCATCAGCTACTGCAAATGGTGAAAATCCGTTTCATTATTATTATTATTATTATTATTATTATTATTATTATTATTATTATTATTATTGTTTCTGCAATTTGACTTGCTTTCTTCTCGCTTACATGCATGCGGACAGACTTCACACCCCGCTACTCGGATGATGAGGCTGTATGCATGGTCTGCATTATGAACATTTGATTGGTCTGATCATTGGCATTTCAGGCTTTCGCTGCGCTACCCTGTACTATGTAAAGAAAGGTCGGTTCTTGTTCTGGTCTGCACCATTACGGTACAGGACATACGCCATGTCACACAGATACGCAGTGACGCATACGTGGTGACAATCACACAGTGACACGCACAATCACGGTAACGTACACAGTAACAAACACCGTGACACACAGCCGACTRTGATGTATACAGTGGCACATACACAGTATCACACAACACAGACACAGTGTCACACTCGCTGTGACGCAGATACAGAGTCACATAGGTGCACASTGACRCACACAGTGTGACACAYACACGGACAATGTGATMCACACAGTGATCGGTGATAGACACACAAGTGCACAGTGAAACAGTCACACCCAAAGTATACGGTCACGAACGGTGCACAGACACAGTGCGCGGTCACATACGCAGGCACTAWAGGACAAACACACATACACAGTGTGACAAGCACACAGCCACAGTGACATACATGCACAGGCTGTGATCTGCACACGAATACTGTGACACACGCAGTCACAGTGAMAGYTACACAGTGACATAGTGCGCAAACACTRGGGCCCGACCGGAAGCTACTTACTACTTCCCCGACCAGGCCCAAACGGTCCAGCAGCGGCAACATCTCCCATATAGGGAGGAGGCCAGCCAGTTCAGGGCATGCTGGCTGAGGCAGGCAACGCGGACACGCTGCTGCAACGCTGCACASGTGTCTGCATGTGCGCGAGATGGYCTGGGGTGCGCTSGTAGGTGTTGAGTGGTGTGAGGCACARCCTTACAGTGAAGCACAAAAGTACAACGGGGCAGTAGTACAACAGGGTGCTTGCAGCCATAGGCAGACTACAACCCGCTAGGTAGAAAAGAGCGGCATCGAATACCGCAAGAATATGACATGAAAGAGTTTGAACGTTGGCTCAGGAAGTAGTTATATCGGTCTCATTTGAATGAAATCTTGGTGCATTTCAGCTCTCTACTCGTTACATGACTTTCTGGACTTCCGCATGATTGATCGTGACTTAGACCTTTCCGTATCGCGTTCATTCATTTTCTTGTATTACTATTATTATTATTATCATTATTATTATTATTATTATTATTATTATTATTATTATTATTATTATTATTATTATTATTATTGATTATTATTATTATTACTATTATTGTTATTTGTTGTTGTTACTATTTCATTGCCTACACCGTCAATTCTGATCTGATTGATAGTACAATCAGACATATGCATGTGAACCAGTACCTAGCTAGAGTCATTGCGTGGGTTCGCGCACACGGGCCTAGAG